GGCCCGAAACGTCAGCCTTCCTGCTCTTCTGATGCTGCTTGGCCTGCTGTGTTCATCCAGCTCTACAAATTGTTATCTCAGATTCTCCAGCATCTGCAGTTCCTGCTATCTCTCAACCCATTATCCAGCAGTTGGCCCAAAGCCCTGTAAGGTATGATGCTTAAACTATTACTTCTTAAATCTTGTTATAGTTTCCACCTCTACCACCCTTTCAGGCAGTGAATTCCAGATACCCACCACTCACTGGGTGAAACATATCTTTCTTAAATCCCTCTAAACCTCTGTCCTTTACCCTAAATCTATGTCTTCTGGTTATTGATCCCTCTAAGGGATCTGTCTGTCATAATTTTGTACACCTTAGTCAGGTCCCTCTTGGCCAACTCTGCTCTAAGGAAAACAACTTCAGCCTCTCGAGCCTCTCTTCATCACTGAAATGCTCCAGCCCAGGCAACATCCTCGTGAATCTCCTCTGCTCCCTCTCTAATCCAACCATAACCTTCTTATTGTGTGGTGACCAGAACTATGGACAGTGCTCCAGATGTGGCCTAACTGACATCTTATACAGTTCCATCACAACCTCCCTGGTCTTGTATTCAATACCTTGCCTAATAAAGGCAACTATTCCAAATGTCATCTTATCCAATTGCCCTTCAAGGTTCTATGGACATACACACTAAGGTCCCCTTGATACTCTGTGCTTCCTAGGGTCCTACCATTCATCGTGTACTTTCTTACCTTTTTAGACCTCCAAAAACGTATCACCTCACAATTTTCAGGATTAAATTCCATTTGCCTCTGCTCTGCCAATCTGATCATGCTGTAGTCTAAGGCTTTTGTTCAGTTTGTGATCAATGATAACCCCCAGGATGATGCTATTCGGGGGGGAGTTAGCAAAGGTCACATCACTGACCACCAAGGGGAGATGGTACTCACTTGTCTGAGATGCTCATTGTTAGCAAGAATTTAGAAGAAAAAGAGGGAAGTAAAGGGTATGTGGAAATAACAGAATTGAGGGGAAAAACCAGAAAAGTAATGTTGTGTAAGTAAGCAAACTGGAAAGTAGAAAAAGAAATTGCAAGTTCTGGAGAAATTCAGCAGGTCTGGCTGCATCCATAGAAAGAGAAACAGTTTTGAAATGGTGATGCCATTAGCCACTGACTGACCACCAGCTCACAGCTAACATGAGTCCGCCTTTTGGGAAGGCCCACTGCTGGCCTGTCAACTTCATCAGGGGAACAGGTTAAAGTGGGCCCTGTGTAAACAGGTGACACTGACTTCCTCTGGGCTGTCCATCATCCCTACAAGGTTCAGCCCAATGCCTTGTAGAAGTTTAGAAATTTCTGCTGCAAAAAGCAATTGATGCTAGTCTTAATTGAACTGGAGGTACTTAAACACCTGCCAGAAGTAGTACAGAATATGGAGCAAAGTTTGGTTTGCAGACAAGCCTTGATCTTCCTGAACAGCAGAGCAGGCTCAAAGGGAAAAGCAACCTCTCTTCTGTTTTTATGTTGCTATGCAAAACACAAGCAGGCAATAGGAGAACATATCACCAGGGCTAACACAGTGTGGAGCTGGAGGAACACAGCAGGCCAGACAGCATCAGAGAAGCAGGAAAGTTGACGTTTCGGGTCGTGACCCTTCTTCAGAAAATCATGATAAAAAGAGCTGTAGAGTTAATGGGAGATCACCCAGTCTCCACAGAACTGTTTCCATAAAAATAAACCTCCCTGCACTTACTAGCCATGAGTATTACTGAAGAATCCTTAATGGGATAGGTCCAATGTATGTCCTGCATGTCAGGAACAAATTTCATGGAGGTGGTCCTCAGAGGGCCTTCATGCCCTTCATGATAATATTGACACCAAATGTCTCATAAACAATTGTCAGAGATTTGGCAGGAGCACCAACATTTTGGAATTAGAATTAGAATTAGGTTTATTGTCACGTGTACTCAAGTTACAAAAGAACAGGAGTATAGTGTACACCATGTTGCCAACACATGGTGCCATCGTAGGTACAAATTGTAGGTACAAAAATAGAGAAAATAAAGAGAATAAGTTACACTACATTACAGATATACACAGCATTAGTTAGGAAATCATAGACTGTTGAATTTTTAACTCATTCCTTTATTTTCCTAGTGTAAACCATGAAAGCCTTTAATGTTAACTACTACATTTTAAAAAAAATTTCCACTTATTCTATGAAATAATGCTTAACTTTTAACTCTGTTTCTCTTACTACTTTGTACCTCAGTTTTTTTGTATCTAGGTACCTTGGTACCTAAGATGGCACCACGTGTGGCAACATTGAAAACTTTTCACTGTACTTCTGTACTTGAGTACACGTGACAATAAAATCTAAATCAAATAAGAAATAAAGCTAAAAAGATAGGTATTACAGTCTTTCTCTAGGGGCTTCCTCGTGGTCTGACTGGCCTCCACTGGTTCCTAACAAGTAGCCACCTTTGCGCTGGACCCCTGGCTGTCCCTGCTTTGTTCCAGGCCCAGACAGAGATTTAAATATAAAAATATGATTTAATTATGTCTGATTCAATTGAGCTGGCACCAACATTTGTGTAAATTGAGTGCATGGTGCTAAATTGCTAAAATTTGTGCTTAAAAAAGGAAACACTGACTGCTGGTTTCTTCTTTCAAGGCTCCTTCCCAATTTTCTGCAAATAGAAATCCACAGTTGAACCAGGGAAAAGTGGTGTGTGAAAACATGGATACGTAAACTCGGTTTACAGCATGTAGGTTACAAAAAAATTCCACATAACTTGATTTCTCGTCACTGTTATATTTTCCAACTTTAAACACAGCACTGTTGGTTTTTCAAGACCGGGGCACTGAAGTGGAAATACTTTGCAATTGTGTGGAGATACCAGAAGTCAGTGGTCAGATTGGAACTGAACTGAATGCTGAGATGATTCACTGGTCTGGATTAAACAGCATTGGGATCAGTTTGATCTTCATTCCTTTGCGCTTATTTCTTTCAAAAAAAAAGCTGATTCCTAAAAATAAAAGTGAAATACATTTTCTGAATCTTGGTACCATACCTTTGAGGACATGGCATTTTTAACTTCTTCATCAGTTAATGCCTGAGTACCAGCAATATCAGGATTGCTGCTACTCATGATGCGGGATTGCAATAATCTGGATCCCACATGAGCTGCACTGGAACGCCCCACTGTATAATAACGGCTTTCTGGGAAGACTGGAGGTGGTGCTGAAACTAAAGAAAAGAGTTTGTGTCAGCACAAGTATCAAGTAGAGTTCAGTCATACCTGGGTGAATCACAAAGAACAAAACCACGCTTGGGCCCAGACACACACACACACAGACACACATAGACACACACACACACACACAGACACACACA